CACGGCAAGGGTCGTGGTGGATACAAGGGGCTTAATTGTTGTGACAACTACCCATACGACCGTAGGTCTGGAAACCACAATAACCGTGGTCGTGGATCCAACAACGGTCGAGGGTAAGGAAACAACAACCGTGGTCGAGGCGGTATAACCAAACTGTCTTACTCGACCATTAGTCGACCAAATCAATAGTATGGAGATGGTAATCTCGTCCATACCAACCAGGTAATAACCGTGGTAAGGTTCAGGGACGAGATCATGGCACAAGCGAGGACGAGGCCGCATGTACTCACCCGGTTTTTGGCCGTGGTCGAGGACATGGCCGATGTGTGCCCTATTAAACCAAAAATGATTTGTGTCAAAGATGTGGTAAGTGTAATCACTGATGTGGGAGTCCTAGCCATTGGCAGCCCCACATGGCCTATGATTCCGAATATAAGGCTGATTATGATGAGCATGGAAGAACTAATATGGATTATGAGATTTCTGATTGTCTTAAGGACGAATCATGACTAATCATGGCATTAGGTTTATTTTTAAATTTATTCTTGTTTGCTTGAATTGAATATTTGCATGAATGTTTGATATGGATTTTGGTATAGTATGATGAAAGATGAGATGAGTACACTATGTGGTGTATAATAGATGCCATACTATACTTAAAGACAAACGTTATTTTGTGAATCTCATGCCAATATACATACTATTGCAGACGTGGCCAAGGTTACTAAGGGCCACGGCCAAGCTTATGTTTTGATGCCTAAAGGCACTCATCTTGAGATTAAATATGCCTTGTATTCCCCTAGCTCTAAAAGCGAGCCTATTGAGTTTCAAGGACATAAGGTTGAATGGTTTACACCTTGAAACATGGGAAGAAGGAATGAAAGATTTCCTTAACATATTTTTGATCACCAATGGCATTAAGAGAGTCTTAGAGACTATACCTGCAATAGCTACTGATCTAGACTATGCCAGAGATCAGTATGATAAGAGGCAATGAGATATGGTAACCTGATAGGTATACCCACAAAATTTAACACTTAATGGCATGACAGGATTAGCCATCCTAGTCCTAACTTGATGCAAAGAAGATATTGCAAAAGGCACAAAGATTTTTCCCGATAGAATCTAACGTTGTGTAACATGTACACAAGGGAAACTCATTAGGCTTTATTGTCCTAAGCACCATGAAATTATGAGTATGTTCAAGAGGGGGAGATAAGGAAGAATCCCGTGGTCCATGACCATACTAGATAAGCCGTGTACCATGGTTTATGACCATAGATGGCTGGAACCTTTTATAAATCATATGGTCCACGTCCAGTGCTTAGGGTCATCTGTGGCATACATAATGGCTGTACCAGCCAGGCCAAGCAGGCCGTTCGTGTCAAGTCAGCCGGATGGGCCAAGTGTGACCGGTTTGTGCCGAAGGAACCGAACGGGCCAAGATTGGGATGCCTTAGTTAAAACTTACATGTACATAAAGTTATGCATCAGGCCATATAAGTGAGCATAGATATTCCCATCTCAGATTGAATAAGGGTCATAACAATCTTAAGAGATATTGAATAAACCACCACATACAAATGTGCCATATAAGAATGAGGATTGGGAATATATGTTGGATATGAATGTCTTTCTCCCACATGTTTTAAGAAACCTTGAGCCAAACATGGGTGATCAGATTTTGGCCAAGTACACGGATTGCATGAGGCAATGAATCCGACTATCCAACATTATATGGAGAAAGTAATAAGCTGGATAAAGTAAAGAATGATAAAGAGAAAAAGAATGGTATTGACCATCAGTGTCTTGGCAAGATCCTCGGACCAGAGAAAATGATTTAAGACGTCCATATGACATCAAAGAAATGATACATAGCTAGTAGAGCTAGAAGCCAGACACATTGACCCGGAATATGACTATGTCATACCAGCTTTGCACCAACGTTTTTGTTGTCCTAGAGAGACACAATCAAGTTGCTAGAAAGTCTATTAGAGATAGACCAATATGTTCCATAAGAAAAGGAACCTCGGAAAAGAGAAAGGTGCACACAATATGAAACCCGAGGTCATAATGTAAACCATACCAGACATTGAGATAAGGCTGCGCAGCTAACCATCTAAGGTACCAAACATGTAGCTTGGGACGCCAAGCTGCAAGTTTATGAAGGTCCTGGATAATAAGATCTCAAAATGAATTAGATCATGTCTGGAACACAAAGGAACTATATGAGAGTGTTAACACCAATGATATGTTTACATATAAAAGAGCTTATATAAGCAAGTAGCACTTGAGTTTAAAGATATAAACGAGGATCAGTACCCACGTAAGAATAAGAATGCATTCATGGACTAGTTGAGTCAATAGTACACGTGAGGTTTAATGCATATTTAGAAGAGATGGGCGTATGGCCATATATATATACAGAGACGCCATCTATAAAACCAGTGTATATTGGGTCTTGTGAGGTAAAAGAAATCGTGAGACATAGTACATGATCATGTGGTCTAAGGTGTTCATGTTACTACTAAAAGCATTCAAGAATGACTTATTATTGCACAAGGATACTCACAGAGACCATTGAACAAATTATAAGGATATGGAATCCTATGTGGTGGATGCTACTACACAAATCCGAGTTTGATAAAATTCTGGTCATAAGAAAGAGATTTGTAGTAAGCAATATATGGATCACTGGATATATTAAAGTATCAGAGGATATTGAGTTCAAAGATTACATAAAGAAATATCAGTGTATGGTGGTAATCTGAACCTCTAGATACATGTCCCAAAAAGTTGAAATCTCGAGATTACAAGACCTAGGTATAAAACGAATTCTGTTTGGGTTTTAATACTTGAATGTAATCCTTGTGTGTATCATATGGCATATAAGAAAAGTAGTCAGGAGTTTTGGTAATGATCAAAACCGTGGACATAGTTCAAAGAGAGACAAGGAAGAGGTCCTTGATCTAAAAGTGCCATATTTTGGTATCTTAAGAGTTTTAGTGTATCTAGCAAGCCATACTAGTCCTAGATACAGGTTTGCCATATAAAGTTACCAGGAAGGACTTAGACATTGTCTATGATTGTTTTATGGCGTGGACATTCCTTGGCCAAAGGGTCATGCCAACCATGGCCATGCCCGGTTCCATTCCGACCTAATATTTTATGAGTAATATTGGGCAGCAATGTATTAGCCACTCATTGGCAAGTTATGAACGTGTGTGGACAAGGTCCATAAGTAGACTTGTTCCTGTTCCTTATACTCCAGCACGTGGTATAGTCCATGGCAAGAAAGGTCACGAGACATCATCAAAGAAAAGTATAGACTGCGATGTTTTGATTTATGTATGGGACTGCAATGCAAGTATGAGCCATTATGTGTTTATCAATGGATAATAATGACCAAGATAAGTGACCAGAAGTGTGTCTGGTCGTGGCCTAAAGTGTATGGCATTGCAGAATGCAAGAAAGATCGACCATAGAGTTCATGAATGTGTTTTGGTCGAGACACATCCGACCAGAACCTAGTACGGTCAAGACAAAGAAGGCATGACCGTCTGGACCAAGGTACCCACGTGAAAGCCAAGTGATTTGGGTCTATGACTCAATATATATGAAGTGTCCACGGTATGGCTAAGGCCATATGACTAGATGATGATCCGTGGGACATGAGTGGACCTGCGAAGTAATGACTGATCGCAGAACATAAGTCCATCCGAGTACTGGTCGAGTACCAGCCATCCGACCAGGACATAGAGTGGTTAGTTGCACGACTGAACCAAGTCCTAATGGAGTTTCAGAAGACATAGAAGACGTCCAGTCCAAAGTAGTACTCACACATGAGTTTTTCCAGAAGATATCAGAAGTTCGAGTTCGGTCCAGCAGCAACCCAACCGACCAGTTTACCAAATCTCTACCGACCAGTTTGGAATGCATCAGACATTTAGTGATGCATTCATCAGGGGGAGTATCATGTGTTGTACTTTTTTTCCTTGTCTAAGGTTTCCATTTTTCCCACCTTGGGTTTTTGGTTTTCCTAGAGAAGGTTTTAACGAGGCAACATTAAGCATGGTACATGCCCATATGGTTTGGCCATCCAAGGGGGAGTGTTATAAAGAATTATGTGGATGGGCCATAACCATATACCAAGACCAAGAAGATAGAGGCCCAAGACAATTAGGGTCGTGACCCATTATGCTTATAGGCGACCAAGACTTTCCATTTAGTGTGTTGTCTAGGTTTTGTACTATTTCCATTTATCTCTTCTTGTAAGTCCTTATATAAAGGAACCTATATTCATCAGTAATAATACACAGAGAATTCCCCATTACTTCTCTCATTCTCCTCTTTCTTTACAACAAAGGGAATATTCTGTTTAGTTTACATAAATCATATTAATATGAAGTAATAGATTAGGCAATGTATTAAACTACTGTATTTGATTTCAGTGGCATAGATTTGTAATTATTTAAAAAAATTCAGGGTTATTTCTTTTTTGTACTTCCCTTTTAATAGTTTAGATAATTGTGTTGCAATATCTACGAATCAAGAAAATCAGTGAAAAGAGAGCATCAATGGATGCTCAGTTGCTGTTGAAGCCACCTTAAGAAGGATCCATGCTGCAGGAAAAGATGATGACATGCCTCCAATTGAAGCTATACTTGCTGCTTTTAAATACATGAACAAAAGCTACAATGTATGTCCAAACATAAAATAACTATATTTTGTGCCCGCACATACAGATATAATCTTCTTACTAATATTTATTATTTTATGATTTATCAATTAAAATAACTTGACAAATTATTATGAGGTAATTGGCTTAAAACCAAAGAAACACATGGAAATTAAAAATCTACCAAAAACAGTAAAACTTGAGGTCACGTGAGTTGACAAAATGAGTTAAAATGACGGTGATGCTCTTTCATTAATAGAGGAGGTATATAGGCTAATTGGCAGAAGAAGATCTGCAAAGATTTACAAAAGATTATGTTATTGTAAAACTACGTTAAAAAAAATAAAAGGTTTTCTCTATTTTCGTTCTCTCCCTTTCTATTATCCTAGTCTTATTTCCCCCTTTTTTTGCTTCATTTTTACTATCGAATTGAAATTAAATTGAAGATTTGATCCAAAAAATTAATTATTCGTCACTTCTCTAAAGTTTCCCACAAGACGGTTGAAATTTCAATATCTCTCTATGTTTATGTTATGTCACTTCTCGCTTGTACGATGGAAACCAGTGCTGGAACCCAACTATCCCTCCAAGATCACTTTCTGGGTTAGGGTACTTGATGTTCCAATGCAGTTCTGGGTGGAATCTACTTTCAAAAGTGTCGGCGCTGCTCTTGGTTTGGTGAAAGGTGATGTGGATTTGAGGGAGGGCCGTGTGCGAGTGGAGTTGGACGGTTTTAAACCACTTGTTTTCTCAATGGATGTTGACTTTGATGAGGGAGTAGAGCTTGAAGTGAATCTGAGATATGAGCGGCTGGTTGGTTACTGTAGGATTTGTATGTGTATGACACATGATCAATCGAGATGTCCTACTAAAGTCACCGAGGTGGAAGCACAAGAGACTGAGAATCAAAAATCTGAACAAGGGAATCAAGCTTTGAGTTACAAAGGAGCTCTGGAAACAGTAGGGGTCTCCTCTGGTGATCATGGTAGTGGTGCTGAGCTACGAAGCAAAGGTAAAGGGTTAGCTAGAGATCGTCTAGGACCTTACAAGGAATCTGGTTCTCTCAGGCAGGGTGGAGCTTACCGGGGTTACAAAGGAAGAAACTCTCGGGGTTTTGGTGATGGTTCAACAAGTCGTGGCGTACAAACTAGTTTTGGTATTCCTAATGATGATCAAAGACGCTTTGCGGTGAATACCAGAGGCATAAGGCAGCTTGAAAATGGGAAAGGAGACCATCTAAGCAACCATCAAAAGCTCATGATGGATGCCTTTAAGGGAATGAATAAGGAGCCACAAAGCAGTCACGAGGCCCAAGAGAATGTGATGCTTCCAGGGGCCAGAAAATCCCTTACTTTTGAAGAACCAGCTGCTGTCATAGGAATGGAGGAGCCAGGTAATAATGCTGGTGATACTGAGGGAATGGAGGATCAGATGGTGGAGGAAAACACTGTGATTGATAAGGCAGATGGGAACAGGGAGGAAGATGGTGATCAGGGATCATTCCCAGAAGATAATACTCGAGAGGAGGAAGGTGTTTTGTTGTCTGACTCAGAGCTTATTGACGAGGGATGGGAGGAAGGTGAAATGGCTGATTTCTTGGAGGAGATGGTAGAGAATATTGGTAATGCTGAGCCAATGGATCAAGCTACCAATGACATCACTGTGGTTGCGCCAAATGAAGCAAATGATGCAGGTGTAAAGCTGACTAAGAAGAAAGGCACCAAGACAGGGACACGCCTTGTTCATAAGCTACTTTCTCCAAGAAAAAGCAAGATCATTAAACCTGCAGGCAAGGTTGGTGAGGGCAAGAAGGCTGGTAATAAGCCTTAAGGTAACCAAAACTTGGAAACCTTATGAAGTTTAAGTTTCTTTTCATAATTCGGTTGATAATAATGTTGGATTATACTATAAAATCCATGTTTCCTTTCCTATTTTCTATTGGTTTTTATGTGCTATCAGAGATAGCTTTGTTTGTCCCGAAATGTAGGGAATACATGTTTCACCTGGCTTTTAATAAAATGAATAAGTTTTGTTTCCTTTTGCTTCTGTGCTTAAGATTTATGGGTTATATAGCAAACTTGAGCTCAGGTTTTGGTCTAAGTATCCTTCACTTATTAATAAATTTATATATGTTTATGTCGCTATTTGGATTGGAGAGGTTATCCTGGTTTGATCTTCATATGTTCCAGGGGACTCTTTTGAGATTTATAAGGGATGAGACTTATGGGAGAAGATCAATTCTCATTTGCATCTTTTTCTATTTAGGGAGGATAGCTACTGTGAGAGATGGAGGTTTCTTTTGGTCTGAGGTTTTACATTGGTCACCGAGGCTAATAAATGCTGAGTTGGTTGCTAGGTTTGTTTCATGGTCTGCGTCTTTTTGGACTATAGAAACGTATATGTGCGAACTTAGCTATGGATGGCATCACAGGGACGTTGGTTGTGATATAACTCAAATTACTGGGTCATTTGGATTTTTTTGGAATAGCTGCGTAATACTGATGGTTCTAGATATGAATTTCAACGTTTGTCATCCCATTTTCTTATCTCGTTGGTTTCTGGGTTGTGATGAGGTTTTTTTGTTTTTTCTGTGTACTGTGAGGTACTCGAAGATGCTATATATATTCTCGGCCTTGAAACAATGGAAGTTTCCAGGGTCTAATGGACGTCCTCCTATGCTGTTTTATTTTCTTTTTCATTTTATTTATAATCTTCTTCGATATGATTATGAGGTTAGGCTACAGGTGATCAAGTTAGAGATCTTTACAGTGTCTTTGTGGCGGTCTTTTCCAATGGTTGGGCAGGAATTTGGATTTTTCAATTTAGGATACATGAATGTTTGTAAGGTCTATGGATTGTGTTGGTTCAATAGCGTTTCATTTCAGGACTGGAATAGTGATATGAAAGGGATGTTTGCTTATTGGAAATGGATAATTGATTTTCGGAGGTCCTATTTAACAACTGAAAATTACGTGAAGGTGTGGCCAAATAGGTGTATATACTTATGGTGTCATTTTTGGAGGCTCATATCTATTCAAAAATTATACATATATAAGAAAGTTTGTCTAAATACAGATGGCACCGTAGGGATGCCTACTGGTTGGAAATGTAAGGTTCCTGTTATAATATTCTGGGTTTACTTGGAATCCAAAGGATTTGGACAGCTCCTTACTCGATGCTGTTATTTGTTTTTAGATTTTTCACAAGACATTTGTAAAACTCAACAAAAGGTATTAAATTGGGGTCTTATTCCTATTGAGCGTAGCTCATCTCTTCAGTTGTGGGAATGTAATTTTAATACATCAGAAAAACAGTGTAAAAGTTGGATTACAAATGGTTATAATGTTGTTTGGAATTGGTTGTCATATTTTCTACTGCCAAAATTGATCAAATGGTCTCAATGGGATGCAATCGAGCTTGTTAAACACTGGTATGAACATGGAATGAAGGCATGTTGTTGTCACAGGATTTTTTCAACCAAGTCACACCAACTAAAATTGGTACAGGTACAAGACCTTAATTTCGAGTCTCAATTGCGGCAGCCATTTGAACGGGAAACACTTGGGGAAAAAAAGTGTAGTGCGTGCCATAATACCAACGGCTACAGGATTTTTATTTTTTCAGATATTTTTACAACTTATGATACACAATCGTAGGAAATACGCAAAACCTCAATACTTAACAAGGTTCGTATCACCATGGAATCTAAGGAGTACCCAAGATAATAATCTTACAGTCTCACACCAATTCTGGGAATTGGGGAGTAACATAAGGAGTTCTCATCTTTTGGGAGTTGTAAAATATTTAGACAGAGGAGCTTCCCGACCAAATGGTTTCATTAAATACGATAATAATGGATCCCAGGAAAAATCCCTGTTATTTTTAATTGACGAGCAAAGAGCTTCTTCATTTTTATTAATTCTAATGGTTCATAAATATTTATTGAACGGGGTTTTTCTTATTACAGAGATTTTAGGCTATATGGAGCCTCCATACATATTTATAATTTATGAGTATTTTGAGCTGGAATTGTAGGGGTGCTGGTAGCTCGGATACAGTTCAACGCATTCGGGATTTAAGGCGTCAATATTTTCCGGATTTTCTGTTTCTCATGGAGACTAAGCAAAAAGATGCATATATGGACGCTTTAAAATCAAGTTTGGGATATGATTGTTTACATACGGTTGGTCCCATTGGACGTAGTGGTGGTTTAGCTTTAAGGTGGAAAGGGTGTTACGCAGTAGAGATCCTATATAGTGATAATAGGATTATCGACCTCAAAGTAACAATGGGCTCTATTGAATTTTTTATTTCCTGTGTATATGGTGACCCTGTAAGAGGAAGGCGACGTTTTGTTTGGGATAAATTAATGGACATTGGTGTGCTTCGAGATGAAGCATGGATTTTGGTGGGTGATTTTAATGAATTAATGAATAATGGTGAAAAATTGGGAGGTCCCCTTAGAGATGAAACCACATTTTTTGAGTTCAGAAACATGGCTGAAACATGTAAAATTAGAGAAATGAGGACAACGGGCAATACCCTTTCTTGGGCAGGGATGCGTGATCATCACTGGGTGCAGTGCCGGTTAGATAGGACTTTTGGTAATGCTGAGTGGTATCGTCTCTTTCCTCAATCGTCTACTGAATATATGAGTATGTGGCCTTCTGATCATAGACCCCTACGTATAGAATTTGCCCTTGAGCCTGAGAATTTGCAAAGAGGACGGTTTTATTTTGATAAACGTATGTATGGTAAAAGAGGAGTGGTTGAAGCAATTGTCCGAGGATGGGATGCGGAAAATATTCATTCCAATCTTACTGTTCTTGATCGTATTTCTCGATGCCGGTCGGAATTATCCAAGCTTAAAAAGACAAACGACTGGAATTCTAAAACAAGAATAGAAAGGCTACAGATTGATCTAGATAAGGAGAGCTCTAAGCAATTTCCAATATATGGGTTAATGAGAAAATTAAGACAAGATTTGGCTACGGCTTATAGGGAGGAAGAGATTTTTTGGAGGCAAAAAAGTAGAGAAGAATGGTTACGAGAAGGGGACAGAAATACAACATATTTTCATAATGTGGTTAAGGGGAAGAAAATGAGAAATAAGATCTTAATGCTTAAAGATATTTTTGGCAATGAACATTATTCGGAAGGGTCTAAAGGACATATTGCCACCGAATATTTCCGAGAATTATTCACCAGCTCCAACCCATGTGATTTGGAAACCTTGTTTGAGGGTTTCGAATGTAGGGTGACCCCAGAGATGAACACAATGTTAACCAGAGATATATCTCCCGACGAAATTAAGAAGGCGGCCTTTGGGATTAAAAGTAGCAGTGCCCCTGGAGAAGATGGACTTACTGGTTTTTCTACCAAAAATATTGGCACATTGTGGGACAGAAAATTATCGATGATGTTCAAGGTTTTTTTAGAACAGCAATTTTGCCGGCTGGATGGAACCATACACAATTATTCATGTTACCAAAAATATTACATCCTACGGAAATGAAGGATATGCGTCCCATAAGTCTATGCAGTGTCCAATACAAAATCATTTCTCGTATTTTATGTGATCGGATGAAAGCTGTTTTGCCTAATTTAATTTCAGAGACTCAAGGGGCTTTTGTTGGTGGCAGGTTAATTACCGACAATGTCATTATAGCACATGAACTGGTACACGCCTTGCGAACAAATGATAAAATTGGAAAGGATTGTATGGCTCTTAAAACAGATATGTCTAAAGCCTATGACCGGGTCGAATGGAATTTCATTGAAGTCTTATTAGAAAAGATGGGCTTTGATCATAAATGGGTTGTTTGGTTAATGTCATGCATCACTACTGTCACATTTTCGGTGTTACTTAATGGTCGAACTCATGGTTTTATTAAACCAGAGAGAGGGATACGTCAAGGTGACCCTTTATCTCCCTTTCTCTTTATTTTGTGTGCTGAAGCTTTAGTCCATGTTTTAAACAGAGCTGAAGCACAAGGGAAACTACATGGTATAAAGTTAGCACCAGGCAGCCCTTCCATTCATCATTTGCTTTTTGCTGATGACAGCTTGTTGCTATGTGAAGCTTCTGTCAGGGACAGTGAAGAGGTTTTGAGATGTCTAAAAATTTATGGGGATGCGTCTGGACAAATGATTAATCCTTTGAAGTCATCAATCATTTTTGGGAAAAACATTGATGTTGGTACTAAGCAAGCTATAAAAAGTGTTCTATCTATAGAAAAGGAAGGAGGTGAGGGGTCCTACCTAGGCCTTCCGGAATGCTTTCAAGGGTCAAAAATAGATTTACTAAACTTTATAAAAGAAAAACTAGAAGGACGGTTACAAGGTTGGTACTCTAAAACATTATCCATGGGGGCTAAGGAAGTTTTAATAAAATCGGTGGCTCTTGCTCTCCCAATATATGCAATGTCAGTTTTTAAATTACCAAAAGGTCTTTGCGAACGTATTACGAGTGCGATTATAGAGTTTTGGTGGAGTAGTGGGGATAAAAAAAGGAAGATCCCATGGGTGTCTTGGGAAAAGTTATGTAAACCAAAAGAACAGGGGGGTCTTGGGTTTCACGACATTGGTCGTTTCAATCAAGCTTTGCTCGGAAAACAAGCCTGGCGGATATGGAATAATCCTAATTCATTGGTCTCTCGGATTCTAAAAGGTAAATATTTCAAGAATGGAAATTTTCTTGAATGTGGCATGGGTACACGTCCGTCGTACGCATGGAGGAGTATTATGCATGGGAAAGAATTACTTAAAAAGGGTTTGTATAGACATATTGGCAATGGGGCTGATACGAATGTATGGGCGGAAAACTGGATTATTGACACCATTCCTAGGCCGGCAATGTACCGTGAAAATAGTCCAATTGATTTAACACTAAAAGTGTCGGATTTACTATTACAGGGGTCCTCAAAATGGAATATTAATTTGTTGCGCCAGACCTTCACGGCTCAAGATGTCCAAAGAATTTTGTTGTTGAAACCATCTTTGGTAACTAATGATTCGATCAAATGGGGATATACACCGAGCGGAACATATTCGACTCGTAC